GAACAAGAACAAGAACAAGAACAAGAACAAGAACAAGAACAAGAACAAGAACAAGAACAAGAACAAGAACAAGAACAAGAACAAGAACAAGAACAAGAAGCGCAACAATGCACGAAGTGACGAAGCCAAGCAACCCAGAAAACTAACATTACCTTTTTCAACCTTGTAGAAGTATTGTGTTACTGGATCATAGCATTTCATTCCACACGGGTGCTGACAGCAAAGAAAACATCCAGGACAAGGGTTCTTGTCACCACAGTTGTTCCCCGCTGACTCCACGTCAGTACAAGGCCTCAACATGGGCAAGGGGCAGCGTTTGGGAATATATCCATCTAAACGTAGACAAAAATAAATAGAAAAAATCGTAAACCTTCTTGTTTGTAATTTTGTGAACGTTTTTACTGTTCTTGGTTTCACCCATCGAAAATTTCCCAGGGGCTTACATAGACATTTCCCCCCCCGTAGGCCAAAGAGCATCCAAAACCGTACATATCTCATGCCAAAGATCTTGTTAAACGAAGTTTTAGATACGAATATACGAGCGTTTGACTATGCTCATGCATGGTTTAGTGGAACTGTGCTTTTGGTCCGCCATCTTGGTGTTCCACTGAGGGACACAAACATGGCGGCCAAATCAGGAAGGTTGAGAATAACCAAACATCAATAATACAAAAGTATTTTGGTAACACTTTTTTAAAGACGGTGTAAAAAAAATATCAGCGAAAGCTGCCAGAATAATCAGCCTGCTCTAAGTAAAATATTAATATTATTATTATTATCAGCCTGCTCTAAGTAAAATATTAATATTATTATTATTATTATTACTATTGTTGTTGTTATTGTTGTTGTTGTTGTTGTTGTTGTAATTGTTTGAAAGTTTGATAAAGTATCAGAAGTTATGAGTTCGTCTTGGTAAATTTAGAAGCGTAAGTTAATGGGAGGGAAAATGCTCAAAAATAGAAAGTTGATTAGCAATACAAAAGTGATGGACATTTTAAATTGTAATTAACGTTCATCATGTGTAGACAGCCATAGCAAGGTACCAGGACAATGAGCTTGTGCTCCTAGCAACGACTACCCTTGGCATTATTAATGATGATATATCATTATATATGTTGGTCAATCAGTCTTTATTCATCTGTTAATATATATAGGCATGGGAGACCCTTGCAATCAGTAATAAGTTTTATTAATAAGAAATAATAGAGGATTTAGGAAAGATCTTTCGAAGTAAATAAACAAGACAAAACTTAGTACAATTTAAACGATGTTTATATTGACTAGAAAACATAGAAAACGCAGTTAAACAGAATAATCCCGACAAAAAGTATTTTTTTTCAAACCTTGAAAAAACTTTCGACTCTAGACTTATATAATCAGTAGCGGGAGCGGAACTTAGAGATGTGTGAATAATTGTCCAAGGTGCTAAAAAAGGTCTCTATCATTGCAAGCTCACCGTTCGTCTCACTTCGATGAAAAGTCACGACTACCTTTCAATGGCGCAGGGAACTGTGAAGGGGACTATTCAGCCAAAATGGTGGCTGTTAAGTTCAATTCTCTCATAGGTATTCGAATCCTCATTTTTTTACCTGCATGAAGCGTGAGTACACCAAGTACACAGATAACAGCTAGTAACAAGTTCATCATAGTTTTCATTTTCTTCCGTACTCCTTTCTGAACCTTATAATTTCTCGAATATACTTGTATTAGTAACGGCACGAGTGTGTTTTGTATATGTGTGGATATAAATAGAGTATATAGTATTATGAAGTGCATGCGCATTGCATGATTGGTGCAAAAGTGAACTTACACATGACTTTATGGATGGCCACAKATTTATCAGTGAAAACAGCTACGTGTCATCCTTCTTAAATAAAGTTGATTGATTGATTGACACTCAGATCATCAGGAAGCAAGACACATTATTATCAATTGTCATACATGGACTGTATAAGCAACTGCCAGAGGAGCGGCCTTTTCGTTGTTTTTGACCCCTTCGAGTTGTGCCACTGCTCACGCTACTATAGCGGTTGTTATTGGCGTTGTTATTTTTTGTCTAAGAAAGGAATTTTTTTGTTTTTTGTTTTTGTCTAAGAAACGGGGGAGGGGGTCGTAGGGACTCAATAAAATAAATAAATAAATAAATAAAT